TTTTTTTTTACGTGTCATCCTTACTTGCGAAGGGGCATTACTAATATTCTCTGTATCGTCCCAATTTTGATGGATGTCCCTGAGGGCCTTTTCGGCATTCTGTTTGGGGGTTGTTGAAACCCCCCGCCTAAAAAAAAAATAAAAAAAAAAGAAGAAGAAGAAAAGGAGTCAGACCTGCCGTCCACCAGCAAAGCTGCTCGGTCAATCGATTCAACGACAAATGCCAGCACGCGCGCGCGCAGAGAGAGAGAGACAAAATATAGGGCGTCGCTCCACTACTGAACACACTACATGAATTTGGACGCTTTGGAGACCAGGTACATTCAAAACGCTGGACTCCTGGGAATGCACTTGCCCCTGAGAGCGTCCACATGCACGTAGAGTGGTGTGTACTGGAGCGAGGGCAAGAGACAAAACCACAAGGGAAATGAGGGAGGAAAATTGTGGGGGGGAGGGGAGGGGGGGAGAAGGAAAAAATAAAACGCGCCGGACGGGGGCGCGCGCGCGCGAGAGAGAGAGAGAGAGAGAGAGGGAGAGAGAGAGAAAGAAAGAAACAGAAGGAAAAAAAAAAAAACGCGAAGGCCAATGCGACCAAGGCAGGGAACCACCCTTTGGGCACACCCACACGTCCCCAGGAATCATCGTTGATCAAAAAACATTGACGACATCATTAAAAGTACATTTGTTGGGCGGCTTAAATAAAATAATGATCGTACGCGATCAATCTATTAATCGATTAAATGACTGGATTCCACTGATTGATTGACTGTATGGTTGGATGGTTGATTGGTTGATTGACTGATTGATCACAAGCTGAGCATGTGAACAGATGACCGTACGATCAACGTCAGCTTCACACGTTCGCGATTAATCTATTAGTTTGTTAAATGATTGGATTCCACTGAATGATTGACTGATTGGATGGTTGATTAGTTAATTGATTGATTGATTGGGTGATTGATTGATTGGGTGATTGATTGATTGATTGATTGATCAATTGATTGATTGATCAACAAACTGCACACGCGAACAAACACACTGATGAAGGATTGGAGGAGATCACCTAACAGGTATGAGATAGACCCACCCTTCCAACGACACTGGCGTCATCATAACATCATTGATGACCGATCTAGGGACGAATAAGAGGGAAAGAGAGAGAGGGAGAAACACGTGTCAAGGTAAAGAGAGAAAGAGAGAGAGAGAGAGAGAGAGAGAGATGAGTGTCAATGATTGACATCATCAAGCACGTATGCTGCCAAAAGGTACTCACACAAAAGCTGCCCAGGTAAAGCAATCGATCAAATAATGTCGGCAGCATAGACGATCAAGCAATCAATCAATCAATCAAGCAAGCAAGCAAGCAAGCAAGCAAGCAAGCAAGCAAGCAAGCAAAACAAAACGACACGCGAATAAAACGTGCGGGGGGCGGGAAGAAGAGAGTGACACTAATCACGACAAAGCCGCCGCCGATTCTTTTACTCATCGACAATCCATTACACTTAAATAAAAAAGAAAAATAGCACCGATTCGTTCCGCCACATGTTCCATTAACCTATTAATAATTCTTTTAATTGACCGACTGACAGTGACTGCAGATTATTTTGATCGATCTGTTGACATTTATTCGATTGATCAATTCGATCGAACGGTCGGTTGATTCAATTTACTTGATTGGTTAATCGATCCATCGCTTGATCGATCGAAAATAATGATTTAAAAAAAATATTAAAAAATCGAGTCAAATTATATCAAAAGAAAATCAATCGATTTATTCCACTGTTGTACCAAATACTCGACCCATCGATCGATGGTTAAAATTCAATTGATTGATTGGTTGATCAATCGACCGAATTGTTTGATCGATCGACATAATCAACTCAACTCAACTCAAATCAAATCAAATCAAATCAAATCAGCAGATTTATTCAATTGTCTTCTTAGCAATTATAATAGACCCATCGATCGGTGGCGGGTTGATTCACTGATTGATTAGTTGGATGACAAACGAAAAGTGCCCATCAACCCACCGATGTATTTTCGCCTCGGTCGGTGAGCCCTGACGACAAAGCCGTCTTCTTTTTAGTAAAAAAACAAAAAAAAAGGTGCCCATCAATCGATTGTTTGGCTTGATTGACTCCCTTGATTGGTAGAATTGATTGATTGATAGATTGATTATCTACGATAATCAATTGGTCTAGTGATTTAGAACATCGACCGACTTATTTGAATTCATCGATGGGTTAATTGATTGATTGATTTGATTGATTTGATTGATTCGATTGATTGATTTGATTAGTTGATTGATTGATTGGTTGGTTGATTGATGATTGATTGGATGGAAAATGAGAAGTACACGTCAACCTATCATTTTTCTAATAGAATCTCTTTTTTTTTTTCACACGATCATCCCGCAGGTTCATCTGCGGAAACCTTTTTCTTTTTTTCTTCCTGCTTCTTTCTTTTCTCTTTTTTTTTCTTTTTTTCCCTTTCTTTTCCCTTCTTTTTTCTTCTCTCCTTCAATTTCGTATTTGTTACAGATTAAAATTTTCAACACTCTCTTTTTCATAGTTCGCACGGATTAAAATTTTCAATAAAATTCCAATTTAGTATTTTGTATCATTATACTTATTAGTCTTCGAACAGCAACCGGTTACACTGGAAAATCAAAATTTAAATAAATCAATTAAAACTCAAAACAAACAAATGAGAGACCAAGCCCAGCAATAAACAAACAAAATAAATAAAATATGTACACAAATACACAGATATCAAAATTTAAATAAATCAATAAAAACTCAAAACAAACAAACGAGAGACCAAGCCCAGGAACAAACAAACAAACTAAATAAATAAAATATGTACACAAATACACAGATATACAAATAAATAAATAAGTAAATAAAAGACTTCGCCTGCATTTTGGTTAAGGGTGTAACTTACGCGATTGCAACGAAACGAACAAACCAAGAAACAAACAACCAAATAAAGGAAAACACACACACACACACACACACACACACACACACAAAAAGAAAAAGAAAAAAAAAATAATAATAATATAATACAAATAATAATAATAATAATAAATACATAAAAAAGACTTGCCTGCGTAGTTAAGGGTGTAACTTAGGCCATTGCAGCCCCGCGTTCGAACACCCAGTTTCAAGTACGCTTTGTCGCGTATATCAAGCAAGTTCCGTATCCGCTTTGCCGCCGCCTCCGTCAGCTCCAGCGCTTGCCTCCGCACAGCCGGTCGGGATACCGCCTTCGCGGCCTCCGCCACCGCCGACATGATGCGTGCCAGGGTTTCTTTCCCGCTTCTGCGACACCCCCCAATCCAATCAAGCCAACCAATTACTATAAGCTCCCTCTTCACGTTGATTGCCTCTCTCTTATCTACCACTCTCTGCCTTGAAGCTCCCTTCCTCTTTCCGCAAAACACACACACACACACACACACACAAAAAAAAAAAAAAAAAAAACATGTGAACGCGCGCGCGTGCTCGCGCACATACGCGCAGAAAATGCGCGGCAGGTACAGCCTGACAGCAAACAGCTTCTCGAATGGTGAGAGCCCCATGCGGCCATCAAGCTTTCTCTTGATTGATGACACGTGTATTGTTACAAATGGACAGGATCGCACCCAACCAGACGTCTAGCAAAAGATGCTGTACCCAATTTCAAAACAACAGGAAAGTTCAAAGAAAAAAAGAAAAAAAAAAAAAAAAAAAAAGAATGGTCTACTCACTTTCGCGCGCGACCTGCCCGATCGAAACGGAATCAAATCCGACCAAGGATCGTTCGCCGGATGGGCGGGGGAACAAACGCAGATGACACGTTCACAGCTTGCTTATCCAATCATTCGTCCTCTGACAGGCAACCACGTGGCCATCGGATCGGATGCATCAATCTCATCGCTGATTCCCGTAATCAGCCGAGATTCTCCCAAAATGAAAATGCTCTATATTTCCTTCGCCTTCCGCCCACACCCAGGATGATCTCTCTCTCTCTCTCTCTCTCTCTCTCTCTCTCTCTCTCTCTCTCTCTCTCTCTCTCTNTCTCTCTCTCTCTCTCTGTGTGTGTGTGTGTGTGTGTGTGTGTGTGGGTGTGGGTGTGGGTGTGGGTATGAAACGTTTCTGCGCCCGCGGTTATATGAATGGCCAGGATTACTCCACCTCCAAGGGCTCCGCACTTAGTTTTTTTCTGTTTTTTGGGGGGGGAGGCGCTCCGCACTTAGCGCGCACTCACACTAGGACTTGTTTCTGCTAAGCTCTGGACGTAATTGCGGTGACATTCATCCAGCTCTGTCGCAAATGCCATGTCATCACATACATTTAGGAAACTGCCAGTGTGAATAGCCCTTAGCCTCCCTTCTTCCTGCTAACTCTATCTAGGAGTTGGGGCTTTGCGCCTTTGCGGCTTTGCGTGACGAAGGGGATGTAATGGGTCTTGCTCCACCCCTCCCCTCTCGAAATGCACAAAACGAGAGTGAATCTTCCCCTAAAACGTGGAAAGATACATCGCCCTGATTTTTGTCTGTTGTGCACGTCGGATGTAGGCGCAATATCGAGAACACTGTAGAAGAACGACTGGCCCATGCAAATGACAATGACATGTCACGATCGCTGGGTACATGCGTACCACGTGTGCGTTCCACGGCAAACAAGCCAAACCCGCTTTGGCGCTGGGCCCAGGCCATATAGAATTTCAGCGGATCTGGGCCCAGGCCATATACAAATTCAGCGGATCACTATTTTATTCCCTATCATAAATAACGGACCTCTAGTTGCATTCGACGCGGACTACCATCATCCAGCCACCAGTCCAACGGCCCCTGCACTTTCTTTTCTGGGCTAATTTGCGAAATACATCTATAAGTTGAGAGATATGTCAAAATACCCCTAAAAGATGTTCGTATCGCGGAATGCCCTTTTGGGCCTAATTCTTTGCGTTTCGCCCCTGTCAGGCCCATGCGCAAATTTGCAATCTGGACCGCGTCATTGGGGCCTGGGCCTGCACGTTGTTTACCCGGTTGCCTCCATGTTCGGCAGCTTCATTCATCGTCCTCCCTGGTGAGGTTCCCCATCTCCAGCTCCTCCTATGCCTTGTCACCTTCTCTGAAATCCTCCTGCTCGCCGCTCTGAGAACTCTCTCTCTCTCTCTCTCTCTCTCTCTCTCTCTCTCTCTCTCTCTCTCTCTCTCTCTCTCTCTCTCTCTCTCTCTCTCTCTCTCTNTCTCTCTCTCTCTCTCTCTCTCTCTCTCTCTCTCTCTCTCTCTCTCTCTCTCTCTCTCTCTCACACACACACACACACACACACACACACGTGCAGTAGTATATATTTCTATATTATAACGGAAGATTCATTCCTATTGATGGAAGTAGCGAGAGAAGGTTAACAACAGTCGTATTTTTCATCACCACTTCAGGACACCCTTCACCACTTCAGGATGCAGCCAGCCTAAACAGGTGGTTTTCAAGGTCTTCGGACCTTTCACCACTTCATGACTATTCAGGTTTGAAAATCATGAATGGTCCTGAAGTGGTGAACGCTCCGAAGACCCTGAAAACCACCTGTTTAGGCAGACTGCATCCTCAAGTGGTGAAGGATGGTTTTCATGGTCTTCGGACCTTTCACCACTTCAGGACCATTCAGGATTTTCAGACAGCCCAAAACTCTCACTTGACCACTTCAGGATGCAGCCTGCCTAAACAGGTGGTTTTCAGGGTTTTCGGACCTTTCACCACTTCAAAACCATTCAGGATTTTCAGACTGCCCAAAACTCTCACTTCAAAATTTTCATTCCTGAATTTTCAGCTACCCGATAACCGCTAGTGGAAGTAGCGTGAGGTCAGTCGCGGTGTTGGAAACTTCCCTGTTGGTCAGTGTGTTCCTCATCCGATCGATGAAAGTACCATTTTTTTTTGTTTTTCCTCTCTCTCTCTCTCTCTCTCTCTCTCTCTCTCTCTCTCTTTGTGTGTGTTTGTGTGTGTGTGTGTATGTGTGTGTGTGTGTGTGTGTGTGTGTGTGTGTGTGTGTGTGTGTGTGTGTGTGTTACATGCCCAGTTGGGCAATGTATGTAAAGCCAAGGATCCACAATGTGATAAAACCATTCAGGATTTCCAGACTGCCCAAAACTCTCACTTCAAAATTTTCATTCCTGAATTTTCAGCTACCCGATAACCGCTTGTGGAAGTAGCGTGAGGTCAGCCGCGGTGTTGGAAACTTACCTGTTGGCCAGTGTGTTCCTTATCCGATCGATGAAAGTACCATTATTTATATTTTTTTCCTCTCTCTCTCTCTCTCTCTCTCTCTCTCTCTCTCTCTCTCTCTCTCTCTCTCTCTCTCTCTCTCTCTCTCT